CGAACAGCTTCCTCGTATTGCCATCTGGGTGTTTCGGGTTGACCTGTTCCAGCAAGTAGTTCGGCAGCAGTGTTCCAGGACCTGGTGGGGTTACGCCAAGCGAGCGTCCGCCCTTAAGAAAACCACAAATGTCTGCGTAAATACACTGTGACGTGACAGGTGTGACTCGCCGCCAACCAAAGTCACCCCCTTGCTTATCCGGACAACTGCTTCAAGTCCACAAACATCAGGCATCTAAATAGCACTGGCGGAAAGATCAAATTTGAAGAAAATCCTTCTAACTCCTTTAGACACGATTTACATACAGGCCATCACATATCAGCATAAGTGACAACCATATTGTTTCATTGAATATTTTTACTGAGCATAATTTTGTACACTTGGAATGAGCTTCCCTTTGCAGGCGTGCCTCGCTTGGTCGAGAATAAACATTTTATGCATTTATTCATCTAAGTAGCGCTGTGTTAATACTAATGGATCGAATACGGTTAACGAGGGTACGTAAGCATGTGCAAGTGCATGCACGCGAATTAGTGGTGTGTGAATTAAGGGGTTGCCAGTGTGATGCCAAGTGCATTTAATTCACTCTCTAGCGAGTCACGTCTACCAAGTTGCAGTGTTGTTAACTAGACATCTGACTTTTTAAACAAATAAATAAATAAATAAATAAAGCTTATATTCTCGACAAGTCGAGGCACACCTCTACAGGCGTGATCCGGTTGACATACCAATGCATTGTCAAGAATGAGCAAAAATCCCATATGTTTGCCATAACAGTGTATATTTGTGTAGGGGGTATGTGAGTATCTAATTGTGTGTATGTGTATGTGGCTGTGTAGTTTGTGCTTGTAGTTGTGCTGCTCCAATCTTCCATGTTTGATACCGACAGCTATATGCAAGTAGAAGATTGGTGTAATTGGTTGGATAGAATTATCCGGATATCAACGGGGCAGTAACTGTATTTTGCGGCAAGTCACGACCGCCACGTCACAGTGTTGTTAAGCAGATATGTGTGGCTTTTAATAAGGTGAACGCTTGCCAGGCGAAATCACACCACGTAATCTCTATTGGTTTCAGTCGGAAGCCAGATGATACAGTGACGATACGGCAAGTTTTAGGGATACTTCAAGGGATGAGGCTTATCAAAGCGTGCATAATAACTATCAACTACGCGGATATATGCAGGTAGGAAGCTGAGCCTAATAGAAGCCGGAGAGGATGCAATGGAAATGAACAAGGGACTAAGTGAGCAGGTATTACGAAATAAATATGGCGCTAGTTGACGGAGTTTCAGTAACCTTCTAGTTACTAACGGTTACCTACAGTGTCAATAGAATAAGCGCCTCATAATATGCAGGTAGGGGAGGCGCGTGCCTCAGGAGATAAAGAGTCGTGATCGTTTACGGATGTTGCGAGGTGCTAACGCTGTGACCTTGTCTCCTAATGTAGTGAGCGGAAGACTAGTGTCTCCTAGAAGGTAGTATAGTCACAAAATACAGGAATTAGTAAGTTCATGAAAAAATGCAACCAATGAGGCCACAGAGAACACGGTTCTGAGTTAAGGAGCTGATTGCGTGTCGCAAACATCGACCGGTGTTGAGCGTCAGCAGAGAGGCACAGCGAAGACACACGTCGAAAGCTCAATAAATCAGAGGAGCAATTTGGTATTGGAGCTTTCTGTACAAACCCACGCAGTGGGATGCAGTCAACAATAGACAAAGCACGGGCTGTGAAACCTAGCCCAGCCGACCTAAATAGGAAGGCTGACTAGCCTAGAAACGTTCCCGTGAGGTCAGCTGGGTGGTTTGGGTACACCAAATTCCAGCAAATAATTCGGCGGTGGTGTTACATAACGTGTCGGGTTCTTGCCTGGCAAGAGTTCTCACTATAAATGGTCACAAGTGTCCGTTGAACAACACAGCGATGGGGTGATGACTCGCCATAAACTAATTTCACTGCCCTTTGCTTATCCAGAGAAACACCTCCAAGGCACAGACATCAAGCATGTCTTCCCACATTGGTGACGCGATCAGGAAGTCCAAAATGCAGTGACACATTTACAAAAGCAGGCGACAGAGCAGCACACATAAAAGTCAACTTACATGTATACACTCAGCAACCTACATTAACTACGACCGCTGACGTGTAAGTTTGTACACTAATATAGCACCTGGCGTCCTGGGTTCATGAACGTGTCCATATACGGGTGCCTCGCGATACTGAGGATAAAATAGTTATTGGTTTAAGGACAAAGCACCGATATGAGGGACATGCAGCAATTACTCGGTAGCGCAGGCAATGTTGGTGCATGGGTGTTTCGCTAGCGGCCTCCCGACAGTGAGCTCGCCTCGAGAGGTAAACGACTGATACCACTTCGCCTGCTTGCGCAGTTCCATGGACTGTAGTTGCGCAGGCAAAAACTTCTAAATTGCCGCACCAATCTTATAAAAAACGACGGCCCGTTGAAACCCAGTTGACATGCCTGTGAAAACTTGAAAAGGGGCTAAGAACAAAGGCTGTCAAACCAACATACAAAAATGCATGGAATCAGCAGTTACGAAGCTGCACAGATGCGACGGTCTAAATAGAGTATCTTAATGTGCCGCGTGAACTTAAATATTGTCTACAGTTTATATGTTCTAAAAAACAGTTAAAATCGGAATGAAACAAGCAGATCACAACTGGTCGTCCAAACCGAGCTGAATTTCGTCTCATTCATAAAGTTACTTCGATATACAAGCTTGATATTTTCGTTGTTACGCAGGACATTTAGATTTTTACTGACCACTTAAACGTGCATTGTCCCATGATTCATCGTTCCAGCTTTACTTTGATTTATTCTTCGACTTTGCCACAGAGAGACATAAATAGTATCAACTTTATTGAGATTCAAGCCCAGCTCCGCATGAATTAAACCCTTCACTGACTGTCGCTTGCACGAAGGTTTATTTACATGAATTTTCTAGCGCTATCTGCCTACCAAGTTCAAGTTATACTTCCTTTTAGCATCAAACAACCGACTCGTCCTGAATAAATTCATTGAGTCTTTTTATCAAAACTCCACCACCAAGGCTTTTGATGAAATACTTCCCGTTAGCTAGTCTGCTGTATTGGGTATTACAGCATTAAACTAAGTAGACGCATGCCACACTAATTTTTTTATACATGACCAATAAAACACCGCAGCAAGCGCATCATTTATATTTTTAGCTTACGCATCCTTTTTTAATTCTTCTTTAAACAATTCATTTACGTTGCACTTTATGGATGACCTTGTTTCCCTATATGGAGTTGTAAAGAGTGATCGAAACTAGTTTGGCGCGTGGTTGAATTTAAATCGTTGCTCTGACGACACCTTTTCTGCCGTGCCAATCGCGCAGGCTGATACTCTCACTGTGGCTACAGCGATGACTAACCACTGGGTTTGTCAATGGGGAGCGCCTGGGCAATTGCATTCCGATACGGGATCATGTTTCGAAAGCTCACTGGTCCAGGAGATGTGCAGAGTACTCGGTATTGATAAAACGCGAACAACGGCCTACCATCCACAAGGGAACGGACAAGTTGAACGTACGAATCGGTCGTTGAAGTCACTCTTGAAGGCGTTCGTGGACCAGAACATTTACGAGTGGGATACGTTATTGCCTAAATGCTTATTGGCCTATCGCAGTACGGTCTACTCTTCTACCGGACAAACGCCGTCCTTTATGTGGACGGGTAGAGAAGTTCGGTTGCCCTCGGATGTCCGATTACCGAGATCACAACAGGTATACCCGTCGGTTGTTGAATACGTCAGCAAACTCCTCGACTCCGTTCGACGCACACACGAAGCGGCACTCATCCATTTGGCGAACGCTCAACAGCGACAGAATGAATACTACGACAAGAAGGTCTTCGGTGTCCCGTTGAAAGCAGGCGACCTCGTATATTTGCATCAGGCCCGGGTATCCGGAATACCAGCGAAGCTGCATCGTGAGTGGGCTGGCCCCTACGTGGTAGACCGAATAATTACTGATCTGACTTGTGTTATTAGGGACCCAAAGAACGCAGTTGGGCCGCCCATGGTCGTACACTTTAATCGGCTTAAACCTTTCCATATCGAATCTGAGCATTCGGATGAGGAACATCACAATGAGCCACCGACGGAAGTAGCCACCGAAGTTGAAGTACCAGGTCAAGGGGGCTTTGGTGTGGCAACGGGGACGTTGCCTATATAGAAGGGTTTCCGTGTAAAGCGTGGTCGAAACTAGTTTAGGGCGTGGTTGAATTTAAATCGTTGCTCTGACGACACCTTTTCTGTCTGCCTTTCAGAAAGACACTCCTGCACAATTATTGAAGAAGGACAAAAACTTGAAGCAAACAGTTAACTGTAACTTTTCTTTCATCCCTTCCTATGTTATTGATTCTTTCTTATAGAGCCTACGTGTTGCGTAATAGAACTTACATCTCAATCCTTGTGGTTCTCCCTTGTCTGCATTCTACAGAGTACATGCTCGCATTTCGTTCGAAGTTGAGCCAAGGTTGTTGTCACCAAAGAACGAGGGGCTTCCAAGAGAAAAATCCCTTTGATATAATGAGACATTAAAAACAAACGATCGCCACTGTTTAACAGCTAAGTTGCGTTAACAGTTTTGATTAAAGGCCCTTGCATAATGATAGGACAGGGTTCAGTGAACCCTTGTGTGGATTTCGTAACTAATTATCCAACCAATTAAAACTGTATCCCTTGGCAAGTCATTGCATTGAAGTAACCGTGTCCTTGATGGCCAGTGTTTAAGCGTATTTGCTCCGATATTTGCCCCGTACTGGTGGCGACCGACTCACAAGAAGCGCGAGTTTGAATTGTTGGCGCTGCACTGACAACCGAAGGCTTGTGCGCCAAATGTGCGGGTACATATATGTTACGTAGCATACAATTGCAGCTAACATTCTTATAAAATTATAAACATATGTAAAATTAAAAATATAAATAGTATTTGTTCATTCAACTTATGTGAACTAATGATGGGATCTGCCCAAATTTCGCTTCTAAGCAGTGTGAACATATTTCTTTATGCATACGTTATATCGATGATTATGGATGCACACATGCGTTTTCTTTTTGTGTGCGTAAATCTTCATTAGCCTGGCTATGCGCATGTGAATGCAGCATTCAAGCCATTTTTCGTTGCAGTGTTGTGAAACAGTCGCACTAACTTTTGGTTCGCTATGCTTCTCCCTTCTGCTAAAGGTGGGTACCATCTTCTAGAATATTTGTGATTTCCTGTAATCTTCGTTTTTCACCAGTAGCAACCTTATTTTAAACGCTCATTACCCAGAAATTACCTTATTACCACGACGACTCACATGGTCTTAAGCGCCTGAACTTGTTCTCCCTAGCCTATCGTCGAGATCGCTGATTTGATTTTCACACGGCGTATCGTTAGAGGTGAACTTGGAGCTGAACTGCAGAATTTCTTATCACTCAGTTCTTTCAGTTCGACTCGGGGCCTTGGTGGACTGGATCCGGAACAACCTTCAAAACCCTACCTTCCTAGTGCGGGTCGACGGAGCGTTGTCTCCCCGCATCCTTGCCATAAACAGAGTTCCACAGGGGGTCTGTTCTCGGACCGCACCTCTTCCTAGCGTTCATTGATGACGTCACACCGCAAGTGGAGTCTTCACTGCTGCTATACGCGGATGGTGCGAAGCTGTGGCGCACAATTAACCTTCCGGACGATGCCCACGCACTTCAGACGGACCTCGACCGTCTACATCAGTGGTCCATAGAAAACAACCTTCCATTTAACGCTTCGAAATGTCGCGTTCTTTCTACCCGCCCTTCCGCTTTTTCTCCTATGTATTACCTGGGAGCGTCTATCCTCCAGATCTCTTCAGCCGAAAGAGACTTGGATATCATTACCCAGACGAGACATTCTGTATCCGCTTCCTGCCGGAAAGCAGCTTCTGCTGCTAACCGCATGGTGGGATTGCTGAAACGAGCCTTCGGTCAAATTGACCCCAGCAATTTCCGCCTCCTCCTCAACGCTTTTCTTCGATCCCACTTAAAGTTCGCTATTCAGGCTTGGAGCCCATGTTTGTTGAAGGACCAACGCGTACTCGAAGCCTCACAACGTCGAGCAACCAAACTGGTCCGAGATCTCAAGCACCTAGATTATCCACAACTTCAGTACCTGGGCCTCTACTCGCTTAAGTACCGACGTCTATGGGGTGACCTGACCCTTGTATTCATAATCTTATCCAACCGTGGACATCCCTGTCGCCACCTACTCACACTGCACCAATCGGGCTCCCACCTACGTGGCCACCCACTGAGGCTCACACATCAGCACAGTCGGCTGAACTGCAGATGACACTACTTCGCTTTGCGAATCTGCCGACCGTGGAATGCTTTGCCTGCCGATTTAGTCTTGGCACCCATTGTGGCGGACTTTCAAACCCGCCTGGACTGTCATCTGGCCGAGTTACACCGCGATATTCCCTAATATAACTACCTTCTACTTGATGGAATTTCTTTCCTGTTTTTTCTTCTACCTACTTCCTTCCCAAAGCCATTTCGGAGGGCGTGGTGGGATGTCACGCTTTGAGCCGGCGTGCATTCTGTTTAAATGCCGCATAAGCCCGATGAAGATACGGCTAACACGCGAGTCCAACCCGCTATAAGGTTGCTTGACCTTTCTTTAGACCCGACCCGAACTCTTCTTACCCTATGGGTCATGTAAAGCTCGAGCTTCTATTCCCATTAAACACAATGTTCCAAAGTAATGGAAATTTTAAAAAAAATCGGAAGACTGGGTCCGTTGTGACGTCACTTTGTCTACCAGAGTAGTGAACGAATGGAACAATCTACCTGTGTATGTCGTTAATGCGCAGTCGGAGGGATGTTTCAAACATCGTTTGGATTCTTACATGTTGACTAAACTCGTGTTTTGTTGCTTCTTGTGTCAATACAGCGGTTCCATTGGTACCGACTTGCAATGTCCACATTTGTCCCTGTGACGAACGAGAGGCAATGGAGCTTCATTGGATTGTAGAGAGCATAAGGAAAGTTCTTTGTCAGCTGCTTCACTTCCCGATCATTGCGTCGATGCCGTGTATCTCTACGATACGGTATTCCACAAGGGGCCGTAACAGCTACATTGGAAGCAGGGTCCCAGCTTACTCATCAAGTGAGAGTACAAAAATCGCTTGAAACATTCCCCAGTCTGCGCGTCGACCACATGTTTCGTCAAGTCGTTCCAGTCATTGACAATGCGGGTTGATAGAGCGAGAGTGGAGCGAACTCTTAGTCTTCTGGGTTTATATAGTTTCCAGTTGTGCTCCCGAGTGTAACTATTAGTGTTGACTTGAAAGAACGCTTTTAGCTCCGTCCCCCATGAGAATACGCCTAGTAAAAATCAAATCACCTCTACGTCGACAATATTCCAGGAAGAACAAGTGCATCTGCTGTAATAGAACAGGTTAAGGCAAGTCCCTTAACTCCAATATGGATTTCGAAGCACGCCGCTATACCTTCTCAATCATGTTACACTCAAACCTGGTAAGAGGAGTTGACAAAGGATCTTTCCTTCTGCTCTCCACATTCCAATGATCGACGATCGTCGTAACTATGGAGACTTTTTAGTTCAATTGCGGCCGTAACAATAGGGAGATCCCGTGAATGTTCCACCGAAATCTTCGTTGGGTCAACAGGGAATGTGGTGGATTGATCTGCCAAAGGATAGCCAGATCAACACAATTTATATGGTCAGCCAAAAAGTGCCCGCGTGCCCTGCATTAGCGGCCCCCATTGTGCAGGCCACGTGAATAAAAAAACAAGGGGAAAGACAAGCTTACCAAATTATAGAAGTAAGATTGAGATGTCATTGAAAATGAAATAAGGAGTAGGCCGTAATAGACAAGTAGAAGCTTAAGGCATGAATGGGAATATTATAAACTGCAGACCGTGGATGTCAAATCAATGTACAAACTCTTCCACCATCGGTGCCATTACAACTTTTTTAAGCGGCGCGTTCCAGTAACCTATGATTCTACGCGGTAACCGTAAAGCTGCTCCAACACGGTCTGATGGGATTTGGGCAACTTCACTGGGTGGCCACGAAGGGTTGGCCCTCGAGTTGGGTGAAACAATCCAGTTAAATCAGGACCAATGTGACACATTAGTATGCGATATGCGAAAACCAAGTCGCCTGTAATGCATGGAAAATATATCCGACTTACGTATCCTCTCAGGGTGCGTCAGCTTTAACATATGCACCGTTTTCGTCCCAAACCGCAAGACCCGTCATCTAGCATACGCTCTTGTCTGCGTACTGTCATGATGGTAGGGATATAAGCAGTGATGACCCTTCACCACCGCACCCTAGTCTAGTTGTAGAATGCTTGTAGTTTGGCGGCCGGGGTTCGGGGCTCCCTACCTAGGGGCAGGGCGACTTCATTGGATTGTAGAGAGCATAAGGAAAGTTCTTCGTCAGCTGCTTCACTTCCCGATCATTGCGTCGATGCCGTGTATCGCTACGATACGGTATTCCACAAGGGGCCGTAACAGCTACATTGGAAGCAGGGTCCCAGCTTACTCATCAAGTGAGAGTACAAAAATCGCTTGAAACATTCCCCAGTCTGAGCGTCGACCACATGTTTCGTCAAGTCGTTCCAGTCATTGACAATGCGGGTTGATAGAGCGAGAGTGGAGCGAACTCTTAGTCTTCTGGGTTTATATAATTTCCAGTTGTGCTCCCGAGTGGAACTATTAGTGTTGACTTGAAAGAACGCTTTTAGCTCCGTCCCCCATGAGAATACGCCTAGTAAAAATCAAATCACCTCTACGTCGACAATATTCCAGGAAGAACAAGTGCATCTGCTGTAATAGAACAGGTTAAGGCAAGTCCCTTAACTCCAATATGGATTTCGAAGCACGCCGCTATACCTTCTCAATCATGTTACACTCAAACCTGGTAAGAGGAGTTGACAAAGGATCTTTCCTTCTGCTCTCCACATTCCAATGATCGACGATCGTCGTAACTATGGAGACTTTTTAGTTCAATTGCGGCCGTAACAATAGGGAGATCCCGTGAATGTTCCACCGAAATCTTCGTTGGGTCAACAGGGAATGTGGTGGATTGATCTGCCAAAGGATAGCCAGATCAACACAATTTATATGGTCAGCCAAAAAGTGCCCGCGTGCCCTGCATTAGCGGCCCCCATTGTGCAGGCCACGTGAATAAAAAAACAAGGGGAAAGACAAGCTTACCAAATTATAGAAGTAAGATTGAGATGTCATTGAAAATGAAATAAGGAGTAGGCCGTAATAGACAAGTAGAAGCTTAAGGCATGAATGGGAATATTATAAACTGCAGACCGTGGATGTCAAATCGATGTACAAACTCTTCCACCATCGGTGCCATTACAACTTTTTTAAGCGGCGCGTTCCAGTAACCTATGATTCTACGCGGTAACCGTAAAGCTGCTCCAACACGGTCTGATGGGATTTGGGCAACTTCACTGGGTGGCCACGAAGGGTTGGCCCTCGAGTTGGGTGAAACAATCCAGTTAAATCAGGACCAATGTGACACATTAGTATGCGATATGCGAAAACCAAGTCGCCTGTAATGCATGGAAAATATATCCGACTTACGTATCCTCTCAGGGTGCGTCAGCTTTAACATATGCACCATTTTCGTCCCAAACCGCAAGACCCGTCATCTAGCATACGCTCTTGTCTGCGTACTGTCATGATGGTAGGGATATAAGCAGTGATGACCCTTCACCACCGCACCCTAGTCTAGTTGTAGAATGCTTGTAGTTTGGCGGCCGGGGTTCGGGGCTCCCTACCTAGGGGCAGGGCGACTTCATTGGATTGTAGAGAGCATAAGGAAAGTTCTTCGTCAGCTGCTTCACTTCCCGATCATTGCGTCGATGCCGTGTATCGCTACGATACGGTATTCCACAAGGGGCCGTAACAGCTACATTGGAAGCAGGGTCCCAGCTTACTCATCAAGTGAGAGTACAAAAATCGCTTGAAACATACCCCAGTCTGCGCGTCGACCACATGTTTCGTCAAGTCGTTCCAGTCATTGACAATGCAGGTTGATAGAGCGAGAGTGGAGCGAACTCTTAGTCTTCTGGGTTTATATAGTTTCCAGTTGTGCTCCCAAGTGGAACTATTAGTGTTGACTTGAAAGAACGCTTGTAGCTCCGTCCCCCATGAGAATACGCCTAGTAAAAATCAAA